TTTGTTTCCTCAATACGTTTCCGTCTCTCTTTCTTTTCCTTTCTCTTTTTCCTTTTCTTTTATTTTTAGGCTAAACACAGATACACATGCATTATAATAATAATTTAATATTCTATTATGTATTCGATTAATAGTTTAATATTAATAATGTATAGTTTAATAATATATTAAGATTATATAATCATCATTTAAACTCCGTGATAGATAATTGCGGGAAGCAAGACAGTCAAGCGATTCACGTGCTCCGCGCGCGCTCACGTTCAGGGCGCGTGAACGAACAATGGAAATTCTTGGAAAGCGCGAAAAGGTACATCAATTCGGGAATCGAATACCGATCAAAGGCCGATCTGCCACTTTCTAATTTTCCGAGAATTTCCATTTCCCCTCGCCTCTTTGCCACCAACCGATTAGTATATAAGAGCACCGATTTTGACGATACTTCGCTCATTTCGTATCGCGCTGTCCTCGGCGACGATACACTGGTACAAGAGCATCGCTGTAAGCGCAACTCTGCATTAAAGGTTCATACATTAAGATCTCTTTCTCTTTTAACGCCTTGCCATAGCAGTATCATCCCATCTTTCTTTCATCTTCCTAAACCGCGCTTATTAAAAGCGTATGTCTCCTGCTCTTACAGTAATTAATATTTCGATCAGGTGTATTCCCACCTTCCATCTCCTCTAAATCGCGCTTGCCATAGGCGTATGTCCTTTTCTCTAGCTATAATCATTGTTTCGGATAGGTGTACTCCCGCCTTCCATCTTTCCTAAATCGCGCTTACTAAAAGGCGTATGCCCTTTTCTCTGGCTATAATCATTGTCTCGGACAGGTGTACTCCCACCTTCCGCACTTCCTAAATCGCGCTTGCTAAAGGCGTATGTCCTTTCTCACTCTTATTACATTACCTTTTCTGTCAGGTGTACTCCATCTTCCATCTTTCCTAAATCGCGCTTGCTAAAGTTGTATGTCCTCCATGCCTCCCTTTCTCACTAACTAAATCTACACATCCAACTCTACCAATATATATACATATATATTTTGTTTTTTTTTCTACTATTCACAAAATAATGAATCACGGCCAGTCATAAGGGTTCCGCTCGGCCCACTCGAAAGACTAGCTATTTTTCTGATTGCGTCACTCCCTTCGCTATTTAAACATATATAATAACGCTCCATCTTTAATCCCAAAAATAAACCCCACCCCCGCGTCCTTTTTCTCAAACCCAGGACGCGACAGCTGTAAACCGCATTTATGTGCGATTTTTAATTCACGTCGAGGAATCTTGCAAAATTCGTAATAAATTTTATTGCATCTTTATTTGTATTCGTAATGCTCC